TTGTTTGCCATGGAGGCTGTCCTGTGTACTACAAGATATTTAGCAGCATCCCTGGCCTCTACCTACTAGACGTCAGGAGCACCACCCCACTGTGCAACAGTTGTGACACCCAAAAATATCTCTAAACATTGCCAAATGTCCCTGGAAGTGGAGGTGGGAATCTCTGGTTGAAAACCACTGAAAGCTTTTCAAAATGCCAAGTCACCTGCAAGTGATAAGTAACTCAATTTCTACAGAGACTACCTCCACTTTGTATCTGCTGTGCTTTTCAGGACATAGTTGCCAGATGTGTCTTCAGATACCAACTGGGTTGTTTCCAGCAAGAAGATTACAGGCAATGCAATAGTTGTCCCTTATCCACAGGGGATGAATTGCAAGGCAGGCCCTATTGCATGTCTAAAACTGCAAGTGGTACTGGACCTTATGTATACTATGTTTTTTATTTTCCTATATATTTCACAACAGTGGGCAGGAATTTCTTGCCGTTATCAACTCCTGCTTTTTTACCTGTAAAACAGGGATGATTTTGTGAATTTCCCTGTAAAGCACAGGCTGAGCATTTGCCTTTGAGGTAGACTGGTTGGGTGGTTTCAGGTGAGTGACTTAACCTCCCTGTGCCTTACGTTTTTCACCTGTAAATGGTAATTCCAACAGTGCCTAATTCACAGGACTATTGTGAAGACTACATAAGGTAATGTGTAAAGGCTCAGAACAGTGTCTGGCACATGCTAAGTGCTCCAAAAATGTTAGCTCCAGAATTTTGAAGGATGTCAGTTCTGGTAAGTGATGAACAAAGCACTGAAGTGGGACTACCAGTTTCAAATGTCACAGAACATGTCTACTTCATTCACCACTGCATCCTAAATGTCTAGTACGGTGCCTGGGACAAAGAATGCATTTTAAAAACATTCATTGAAAAAATACAGCAACGACCAGGGCTGAGGAAAACTGACTCCCAGGTTCTGCTCTGAACCTTGCTACTATCTACTGTGCATCTCACCCACTGCACCCAGCAGTGAGGTTTGGGAAAGCTGCTAATTCTAGATCTCTCTCATCTCCTATAAAATGAAGGGATGATGCATAAAAGCTATAAACCGTAGTGCTCTAAATTATAACCGACACGCTTAATTCTACTATACTTTTTAGGAAAAGGATTACAAAAACTTTGTAACAACATAATTTTTGCTTGAAAACAACAGTATAGAGATGCTACAAAGTTGTTGAATTATAGATTTCAAAAGAAATTTAGTGTTGATTGCTTCATCAAAAAGGGCAGTAAAACTTGGCACTAATGCCATCACTCAGTGGTGTGCTACTTTTCCCCCAAGAGCTCTGTAGAGAGGGAAGGAAAATGAAGCTGAAGACAGAGAAATCAGTGGTCCTGCTGTCAATATTAAGCCTTTCTTGGTTTTCCAATCCTTCTGGCTTGTATGTGAAAGGGAAAAGCTTGACTCACTTACAGGCAATGGAATCAAAGTGACTTAAGCTTTCAGAGTCTGTTTCTCTACCTATAAAATGGGATAGGATAACACCTACCCTCAATGAGAGTATCATGAGCATTACATGAAATAACTAGGCAAATGATCAAGAAAGAATACTTTCAATTAACTGAAGTTATTAATAGTATAATAATAATTGCAATTATTTACAACAGAACCATATCCCTACTAATAGCACTGAGAGTAATTCTTTGGCTGGGTATCACATAGCATATAAATTGTATTTTTTTTCGAGACGGAGTTTCTGTTGTCCAGGCTGGAGTACAGATTGCAGTGGCGCGATCTTGGCTCACTGCAACCTCCACCTCCCAAGTTCAACTGATTCACTAGCCTCAGCCTTCCCAGTAGCTGGGATTACATACGTGTGTCCCCATGCCCAACCAATTTTTGTGTTTTTAGTAGAGACAGGGATTCACCATGTTGGCCAGGCTGGCCTCAAACTCCTGACCTCAGTTGATCCACCTGCCTCAGCCTCCCAAGGTGCCAGGATTACAGGTGTGAGCCACTGTGCCTGGCTAGAAATGCTAATGTAGTATGCAAAGAGACATCAGACAAAGAAATGCACGCCAGCTAGGTAATCCTTTTTGTGGAAGAGCTAGATAAGAGATTAGGAGTGCTGAATGGTGAGTTGGGGAAAAATTAATGTTTAAAGTTAGAGAAACAGTTGGGTCAGAAAAAAAGAACATGAAAAAGCAGAATAGCAGAGTGGTTAAAGCACTGCCTAGGTGAGTCATCTATTTGTTTCTCCAGGTGGGAAAAAATGGAGATAGTAATACTGAACAGGATTGTTACAAAGGGTTAAAGAGTTAATATTCGTGAATGGCTTAGAACCACACCTGGAATATAGTAAATGCTATCTAAGAATCTGTTACATAGATTAGAGGAGTGATGATCATGGCTGAAGTGACAGAGAATGGCCTGTTAGGAAGCCTTTGTGGTAGAGACCAGCAAAGTGGCATTCTAAGGGCACAACCTGGAAGCTACCAGCTCTTTCTTCCACTCCACACCCGGGCTCCTCCTCTGGGCAAGGTGAAGTGGCATGGCCATCAAGAGTCAATTCACATTTGAGATGACAGAGATGGACCAGTGGCTGAGGCAGAAAAAAACCTCTGTTGACACTAGGGGTAACAGAAGTACGTGTATAGACAATATGCTATCCCTTCCTTTGGGCTCCCACAGTACTCCCTATGTATTTCACAGCATCCCAGTTAGACAGAGATCCCTGAGGGGGAAACCGAGTGCTGTTCACTGTGAAATGCTCCCTCCACAGTGCTCAGTAAGTATGTGTGGAAGTGAAGCCAAAGTGAGAAGTAATTACTGAGCCACTAAGCACTTGGACCCCTAACTGCTCCACACCCTATTTTCAACCCTCTATATTGCTCTAAATAGCTCACGGTCAATGTGTGGGAGAGGAGAGCTGTAATCCCAAAACTCAGCCTTCTTAGTAAAAATCGAGTCTTCTTTGTAGTGGTGGCCTGAAAGTACCAGGTGGTAAAATCGGCTAAGATGCCTTCTGATGGGGGGAATTTCCTCCAGCCTCTTTTTTCAGGCCATCCACAAATACCTCAAAGCTAGCAGAAACAAAACTGAACATAGGAGCTTTGCAAGTGAGCTGATCTTTTCTTCTTTCTCTATGGCCATCTATCAAATTCTCTTGTGCTTTCCTTGAGAACATCCTTCTCATACAGCCCTCTCTCTAACCTCTCTGCTTAGCACCTTACAGGATCACACTGGGATTACCACCTTAGGGCCCTACTGTGGTTCTGTCTACATTTCATTGCAAGACACCGCTTCCTAAAATACAGGTTTCATATTTCTTCCCTGTTCAAGATCTAGGCTCCTTATTCCTTACCTTTACCTAATCTACTTTGGTTATCAAGCTCCTCCATATTTGGGCCCTACCCTGCTTACGTGATGCACATATCGACTTACTAAGGCCTGCATGTAGAATATCCTGTTCTGTTTAATGACCTCACAGCACTCATCATTGTAGTTTTTCTCTCATTTAATCACATTTCCTAAAATGTTGGCTTCTTGTGCTTTGCCCATGTTGTTTCCCTTTTTGGAATAACTTAATCCTTCTTTTCTAGCTATTCAAGTACCAGCCCTTCAATTAACACTCGAAATCACCTGTGTGCCTTAGATAATATATAATTGTATTATCTTGTATTTCTATTACCTTGTGTTTCACTCTCTGTTGCCTATGTGTAGGCACAGTTGTTCCCTCCTCAAAAAAAAATTATAAATTCTTGAGAGCAGGGAGTTTACATTATTTTTGCTTGTTTGTCCAATAAATAACACTGAGCTTCACTGCTGTGTCAGGCACTGCACTAGGCTTTGGGGTACAATGATGAACATGACAGATACAGTCCCTGTCCTCACAGCATTTACATTCCAGTGTGTATGGGCATATGTGTGAAAGATATGAAAAGATTTACACATGCATAATTCAAAACTGAAGCACCATGAAGACAAAGTATGGGGTGCTGAGAAATTATGACAAAGCTTCATATTGAAAGAAAATCTCCCTGAGCTGAGATCAAAAGGATAAAACAGAAATAAACAGGCAAACATCCAAAGGTCTCAAGAAGCCTGGAGTCTTAGGGGAACTGAGAAAAGGTCAGTATCCACAGCTGCCGAGGGCAGAAGATGAGCCATATGGGACAAGGCTACTGACGTGCAGGCTGGGTGTAGTTCCCGACACTGTACTAGAATCAAGAGGCACTTGTGAAGTGAAAGTAAACTTTAGGTGTTCCTTAGGAGTCATAATGCACGATGGCAAAGGTTATTTCTGAAATATTGTTCCTGTACATTTGATTTTCAAACAATGCTGAATATCCAAAGCTTAAAAAACATGAATACTTGTATACTTGTGTGCTTATGAATCCTCATTTCCCTGACCCAAATGTGACCAGTGAGGATGCAGGGCGAAGGAAATGGCCCTTTGAAAGGGCTCCATGTGACATTAATAAAGAGAGGATCTGCTGCTATCAGCTTCTGATTTTTGTCTTTCTCAAGTTCAATAAACAAGACATGGACCAATGACAACTATGACATGGACTGTGGTCCATTCCACATTACAAGTTAGATGCCAAAATGCTTTGCACAGGCCACCAAACAGATGGTAACGTATTTCAGCCAATACCGATGTGCGCAGGATTCAAACCAGTGACCCCAGAGGTGAGAGGTTGTATATCCAATTACAAATTCCCACTTTCCTTAAGTGTTAAGATGCCTAAAGCAATATATTTTATTTACATCAAGATGCACTGTATAAACTATATTTGATCAAAGAGATGACTTCACGTCCTCAACTTAAATCAAAGAATGCTTACTTAAGTATTTTTTTAATTGAATCAGACTTTAATGCCATCGTATAATCTTTTGGTTAACAGTGCTCATCTTGATTATTCTAACAAAGGGAAACATGGAAATTAATACTTACGTTGTAGAGCTTATGTCATCTATAAAAATTCACATTAGAAAATTCAACAGAGGTACCTGGGACATCTGTGAAGGTTTCTCCAAGGATTGAGACACGGAAATTGAGTCCTAAGTCCTTAAGATGCATTAATACCTTAAAAAAGCTTTCTGGATCTTTATCATGCTCCCTGAAAATAAACACACAAAATATAACTTGTGTTACCTTAGGGCATGTGTTAGGAAAAGTGATTTCACATCTTACAGTTTCATTTTTTTTCATGGTCTATTGCTGGTTGGGGAGCCTATGGTATCCAAGCAGAGATTTCTTCCTATAACCTCACACTGTAACATCAGCAGAGTTTTCATGTCCACAAACTTGTCTCTTATGATCAGAACCTACTCCTATTGACGTTTTAAGGCTCTGCAGCCTTAAAGGAGAAAGTCTGCCTTTTCACATCTTAAGGCTAGACTATAGAAAGCATAGTGTATTTTGCTTTTCCCTAAAATGGTTAATTTTCTACTTAACAGAGGATAAAAATAAACTTTTTTTTTTTAAATTTAAGAAAAGACCAATCTTCAAAGGCTGACTCTCTACTGATCATGAGAATGTACCAAAGATGCCTTTTCATTTCCATAGGTCTGAATACCTTCCTCTCACATTTACTGAGCTCCTTTGTGCCTACAAGGAACACACAATTTAGGGAGATTAGAGACCCTCTCACTAATCTCTCATTTTAAATAATTGAATGGAGAATTATAAATACATCAAAAGGGGGTAGGTCTGGGTCTATGTCCGCTGGGTATTAACTTAGGAGTGGAGTTACGCAACATATAAAAGAATAGTAATAAAGATAATTCTTTCATTTAGTAGAGGCTTTGGAACACATGGATTATTTTTGTTTGTTTAGCTTGTCAGTCTTCTTTGTAAATGACAGAATGAGAGGCTAAAGGACATTAAAGTTTTTTAAAATTCTACAATTCAACAAATCACATAAAAATAAAATGAGTTTTTTTTTTTAACATCCTAAGGTGTGAATATTTCAGTATTTCTTGCATTTAATTACACTGTTTTAAATTATCTTATTTCAGACAGATGTGGACCAGATGTCTTCAAAATATTTGGTTTTTATTTGTAATCCAGAATTTTAACTTCTTTTTTACATTATGGAAAAATATTATATATCAGCAATTGAATTCCTCATTTACTAATTATGTAAAATAAATCTGTAAATTGATCAAACTGCTATATGGAATATGAAAATTACATCATTCAGAAAATCTCATAAAAAATGACATCTGCAACCCTAAATGTGTTAATTCACAATTCAGTCAATATTTTCAGTATCATGAATTAAAACAAATGTATCTTCTAATTAACATTTTAAAACAGCATTTATAATCTTATGAAATTGGTAAGATCTTATAGAATTAGAGTTCTATAACCATTTCTTTTAAGCTCTATATGTCTCAGTTTGATTTAGTTCAAATAATAAAGAATGCAAAGACAAAATGTTCATTGCTTTTTAAGATGATGCGCAATACATACACGTAACATTGGGAAGTTTCTGGATAGTTCTCATATGTACTACTGCTATGGGAAAGAACAAAGACTCAAAACAATTTGAAAGTAAAGAATATGCCATATGCCATCTTTAACCACATCAATCAAATAGCTGCCACCTAATCTATAAAATGTCCTTTTAGTCTGATTCTCTAGGAAATACTTAGATGAAAAGATTAGAAATAATATAACATAATACATCTTAAAGAGGGAGTAACACCATAGGGAAATGTAGCCATTGAGTTCTCTAATTTTTTCATATTGAGTTCAAAAATTTTGGCTATGGATACCTAAGAGACCATATATTCTAACTATTTCTCTTTTTTTTGGTATTAAAGTAAAAGTAGATGAGGTTTGGAGTTGGGAGTAGGTTTAATCGGGTAGAGCTGTAGTTCTTAAAAGATTCCAATGTGAATATTTTCAAAGCAGCTGGCTTTACAAACCTCTATTTTCAGTGTTTTTATACAAGATAAATGCATTACAATCCTGCTGTATTCTTTAGCTATTTCCTATAGGTGGACAAAAGCTTTCATATTCAATAGTTACTTTGCATAAGAACACAAAAGAGATTTGTGTGAATCCCCTCTTTTTGTTTAAACCATAATATACAGCCAAATGTAAGGTGAGATTTTTCTTTCCCAAAGTTATCTCTCAGAAAAAGAGGCATTTTATATTAAAGTCCTTATAAAGTCATCTCATAATACCAGGCACTCTCTCAATTACTTTATTTTAAACAAAGTACTGTTTAGGGAACATGGATTAGCCCGAAACAACTGATGAGTTTTGGATGGTTTTAGCAATTATTCTTTTGATGGGACTGGTAAAAACAGAAGCAAAGGAATTTAATATTGAGTTGGTAATTATTTTGAGAGACATGACCTAACAATTCTAAGTGCTGGATATTGTTGAAAACAAGTATTTTAAAGGTCACTAAGAAAAGTAATAGAGTTAAGTGGTTACTGGAGATAAGTAGCAAGTGGGGCTTTTTTTCTTTCTTTTTTTATAATTGGGGAAAAATTTTCCATCATACACAGTTTCATAAAGTCCCGCACCCCAAACTACTCAGACTTAATTCCAGATGACAGGTGGTGAAAACAGGCCAGCTGCCTGAAGAGGTGCCACCATTATAAAGTCAAGAATGCATGGAAGGGGGATCAAAACTGCTTCGTGAAATGTAAGGGTGGGAAGAGAGCAATACTGCTAAAAATTATTACTTATAGTATGCATTTTAAAGTATTTTATGTCTAAATTACATATTAGAAATATACAAGTTTATTTCATCTATGTCATGCAAACTTTAATATAATCAATTTAGTTGAAAAAATTTTGGGGTTTTCTTTTTAGAAAAATGGGAAATCGCCTAACTTCCAATTATTAAAGATGTGTATAAATATTTGGCTATAGCCATATATCAAAGCAGGATAATATTCAATGGCAGAGCTCAATCTATTTTGTTTAGTAAAGAATTCATTCTAGCTATCCAATGGATCATCCGTAGATTTTACCCCAGAGCCTATGACAATAATGAACCCATTGAGCATAATATGTGAATTTGTCTTAAATTTCTTTCTAGAAAACTTAATGTGAAACTCTCATACATGTCATTTTAGAATAAAGTATTAAATACATAGAATGTGGGATTTAAAGATAATATACTGAGTGCCCCTTTCTGCTAACAGCTATCAATATTAAACATACATACAATAGTATGTCCAATTCACTACAACCATATTTGTAGATTTATGTGCTCCTAAACACTCTTATTCTCATCCATTGCTGGTAGAAATGTAAATTGAAACAATCTTTTAAAGGATAATTTGATAATGCAAATAATAAGCCTTAAAATATATGTAACTTTTACCCAAGTAATTGCAATTTAGAAAAGTTATTCTATAAAATAATTAAAGATGTGCACAGAAATTCAGCTAGAGTATGTTCACAGCAACATTGTTTATAATGGCAACCATCTGTAAATGACCTAATGGAATGATAAGTAAATGTATTTTGACACACATATATGATGCAATACCATGTAGCCATTAAAAATAATGTTGCATAAATATACTTCTTGAAGTAGAAAAGTATTCAAGAAATACTGTTAAGTAAAAGGGAGATGACAGAGTAGCATGATCTGTATGATCTGTTTTTCTAACACAAATGAATGTATATATCTAGGAAAAAGTTTGGGATAGGTATACCAAAAGTTAACAGAAATTATCTTTAGGGGTTGTTATGTTTCTTTTTTTCTTTTGGCATGTTTTCTACTTTTTCTTTAATAAACATTTTTATAGAAGTCATTTTAATGCTTTTAAGAAATTATCCATCTCTAATATTCCACCATAAAATTACTAGATTTTTTGCTTAGCCCCAACATTTCCGGTATTTACAGCAGCATAATTCTTCCTTTCCTATGACCCCTATACTTCTGACAGCTGCCAATCAAGACAAGTACCCAGTACCTAGCTGAGTAATGGTAGCTATTACTTGTGTTGTTTACTACTAAGTACCCAGTACCTAGCTGAGTAATGGTAGCTATTACTTGTGTTCATCAATATCCATTCATTCTCTCTTTCTGCCAATCATGCCAATTTAGCCTTCACAACATATTCCAGAAGATAAGTCAGGGTCCAAGCTTCCCAACAATTTCAATACTCTTGAGTAGTAAGAATGAAACAGTCTGGCTGCGAATTCATTCCTCTGCACTACCATTATGGCAGAAGAGACCAGCGCAGAAATATTTCAAGCTTACTGGAAGCAGTAGATACAGCAAGAACAGCTTTTATTCCCAAATATTATTCAGAACATTTGAAAAGCATAAACTGTTTCCATGTGTTTTTTTATTCCTATATCTGTTCTCTCTGTGTTGCCTTTCCAGTTTAGTTTCTTAGAGCTAAATTTCTTCTTATTCGTCACTTAACATTCATTCAGTAAATATTTATTGAGGATTTCTAAGTTCTCCATACTTGTCACTTACACTGAACTGTTATCCTTTCTTATTTTTCCATTAACTTTATACATATTGGATACAATCTCTTTAGTTTCTTCTCTTGCTTGGACGGAACACTGGCTCTTTATGAATGCTATAGTGTTCCCAAGAGCATGTCACTCTGGCTTGAGAGCTCCATGAAGAAAGGATAAATGTTATTTGTTTTGTTTACTACTAAGTACCCAGTACCTAGCTGAGTAATGGTAGCTATTACTTGTGTTCATCAATATCCATTCATTCTCTCTTTCTGACCACACAGAAGACTCCATCTTCATCTTCTTTCATTAGTATAAGGACACATGAGTTCCGGTCAATGGACTGATATATGCCACTTTCAGACAAAATATCTAAAAGCAGTTCTGGCTATATCTTTCCCTGCTGTGGTAGACCTTAAGACGTCTTATGTTAAGAGGATTAGTTTTAAAGAGTGATGCCGTCTGGGTTGCCACATGGAGGAGAGTTGCCCTGTAAAGCCACCTAAACATGCAGCAGACTTTGAGTAGGTGAGAGAAATGTACTTTCATTGGGTTTAAGCAACTGAGATTTGGGGTGGGAGAGTGTCTTCATTACTGCAGCATAATGTGGCCTATCCTAACACATTATCTGTGGCATAAAATTAGCTTCTCTATAAATATTTGTTG